TCTGCTCTGCTTCCGATCCAGTTCCCTACTAATGTGCCTGGGGAAGCAACAGAAGATGTCCCAAGGGCTTGGGCCCTTGTTACCCACATGGGAGACCTGGATGAGTTCTGGGCTTCTGCTGAGGCCAGAGGAAAGTGACCCAGTCAGAATATTCTTTCTCTCCCCCTCCCTTCCTCCTTCGTTCTTCCCTTACTACCTCACTCCCTCCTCCTCTGTTCCCTACCATCATTGTCTTTCAGATAAATAAATCTTTAAGCAAAAACAGTTGAATCCTCAGGCATTCTGAAACTACTTCGCCACAATTCTGAGTTAATTCATTTTTTTCCACTGAAATCTCGGAAACCGGAGAGTCAGTTGATCTCAGTAACAGGACAGAGCAAACCTTCTAAGAACCCATTTGCTCATTCATCTGTGTATTCACTTGCTCATTCATGGGCATATTCAGCAAACACCTACCGAGTGTGGAGTGTGCGCGGCAGGGATGACAACAGTGGCTGTTGCAAGGAATTTTTAGAGAAGTCACATTTCGGGAAAAATATCCCAAAGGCCGCTTGCTCACACCACCTGTTTTTGTTTTAGTTGATTGCATCTGTTGCCAAAAGGGAAAAAGTGAAGCTGCTTAGGAGAGATTCCCAAGGGGATTGATCAGAGGGCGAAGTGAGAGGAAGGTGTTTATTTTACAAGTGTTGGCCCTCTGAGTTTAAGGTACATGAATTCTCTTCCTGTCTGTGGTTTTGCAGTCCACAATTTAGCTTGCCTACGGTCAGTGCAGTGTGACATTCTGACACAGAAAGAGATCCCATTTACATACCTTTTGTCACAGTCTGGTGCTCTTGGTTATTTAGTTATTGCTACCAGTCTTTGGTTGGGTCCAATTTATGCACTGAGCTTCACCAGGGGTGGCGGTGGGCCTTGGAAGAAGCGCAGTGTATACAGGATCGAGCTGGGTCCCGTGTGTGGTTGCAGGCATTGCTTGCTGACCTTGAGCTGTATCTTCTGGGGATGAGAGGGACCAGGGCAGTGACATGCCACTCTCACAGTGCTGTGGCAGCCAGTTTTATAAGTCAAGTTTTTTCAGTTATTAATGAGGTTGCTCTAATTAGTCATTAGCATGGTATATTAATAAAATCTGTGACTTTATGATTAATGGCATTTGATATTAATACTAATCGATAGCATTAGTAGTGACTAATTATAGCATTGATTGGGAACAGAAAAGTCTTTAATGGACCTTTCAGCACTATTGGGATATTAATGATAATTACCAATCTCACAAATAACCATGACACATGGTGATGGCGAAGAAGTGTTGTTGGAGTGGACCTCACTGGGCTACAGGTGGGGCCCTGTGTATGCCTGTGACTGACCCAGGTTCTCTGCCTAGAGCGTGGTCAGTAATTGCTGGCCGAGATAACAAGGGTCCCTGGGGTGCCCTGGAATTCAAACTAAGGCAAAATGCCATGCAGCTTGTCTGTGCCCCTTTGGAGCACAGAAGGTGGGGTTCAGGTGTCTGGTGCTGTGTGTGTCCTTGGCCCCGGCCCGAGTGCATTGTTCCTGTTTCCTGTGCACCTGCCCCATCCCCTCTTAGGTGTCCACAGGGCAGTCTTGGGCGCACCTGGCAGGATGCCAGGGAGTCTGGGTGTCTGGGTGTCTGGGTCTGAGACATTGGCCCAGGCCTCTCAGGCACCACATCTCTGCTGGTTTTGTGTGACATAAACAGAAACAAAATTGAATCGATTGTTGTAAGGTCACAGGTCTAGCCCAGGAGAGACTCAGCAAGCCTGGAAAGAAATTTAGACTGCCACCTAACATAATTATAGGAGATTTTGGTAGAGACTAAGTGTACCAGTGCTGCGTGCTGAGCTGTTTAGAGTGATGCCTGGCTCCTCCCCTAGAGCGTGGGGTTTGAAAGCAAAGCCATGCATGTCTGTGGTGATGGCCTCGGTAGAGGCTGATTTTTTTTATATTCTTTTCGCCTATCACATTGTTGGGTTCAGCAACGTAAGAGTCTAAAACAAACAAAAAAGATTCTAAGACAGGGCTTATAACTGATGCTTATCCTGCGAAGATTGGAAGGGGAAGGAATTTGGGTACCTATAGGCCTGTGTTTTTATGGGAAGACTTGTTATAATTTATTAGAAAGGCAGAGTGTTTAGAGAAGAACAGACAGGGCAAGATCATCCTTCTGCTGGTTCAGCCTCCAACTGGCCGCAGTGGCAGAGGCTGGGTCAGTCAGAACGCAGGAACCAGGACTCCATCAGGGTCGCCCATGTGTGTGGCTAGGGCTGAGGCATTGGGAGCTACCTTCAGCTGCTTTCCCAGGTGTATTAGCAGAGAGCTGGATGGCAAGTGGAGCAGCCAGCACTTGAACCAGTGCCTGGGTGTGATGCTGCCATCGCAGGCAGCAGTTCAACTTGCTGCTCCACAGAGCCTGCCCTCCTTTCTTTGCCATCTTCTTTATATAGTCAGGGGTGGAGGTCAATGTTTTTGGAGAACTCACTGAAGCATAGGACAAATTCCTGAACTGACCAGTCCACAGATTTGAGTGTCACAGGGGAGGTGCTGTCAGTGTTTTGCTCCTGGTACTCTGGGACGCCTTCCATGTCCTTGCCATCACCCTTGCTCACCTGCCACCAAGCCATCATCCATGAACTTGTGAAACTGTCTTCCATTCAAAGCCTAGGTGGCAGGTGACCTCAGATCTGAGTCTCTGCCCTCAAATGGAGTTCTGGAAATTTCTGCACACACTACTGGGCTCTTGTTCTCTGCGCATGGTATTCATGTCATGACATTCAACTGATCTCTGCATGCCATGTTCAGTCATCTGAAACCCCTTAGTCATCATTTTGTAAGACTGCAGTAGGACCCCTATGCCAAAAATCTGAACAGCTTTTCATCTGAGTTAAGCTGCTTTCTGCTTGCTCCTCTTGTTTGCCCTTGTTCTCTTATTCAGTTTCGTTTTCGTGTGTGTGTGTGTGTGTGTGTTTTAAGATTTATTTATTTATTGGAAAGTCAGATTTACATAAAGAGGAACAGAGAGAAAGATCTTCCATCCTCTGGTTCACTCCCCAAGTGGCCAAATTGGCTGGAGCTGAGCTCATCCGAAGCCAGGAGCCAGGAGCCTCTTCTGGGTCTCCCCATGTGGGTGCAGGGTCCCAAGGCTTTGAGCCATTCTCGACTGCTTTCCCAGGCCACAAGCAGGGAGCTGGATGGGAAGTGGATCTGCCAGGAAAGGAACCGGCTCCCATATGGGATCCTGGCACATGCCAAGCAAGAACTTTAGTCACTAGGCTATTGTGCCAGGTCCATCCTGTTTAGTTTTTTATTATGAAATATTTCAGATGTACACAAAGTTTAGAAAACAATGCAGGTTAAGTACTGCTTATCTAAATTACTTGGTACTATAGATTTTTCAGACTTTTTTCAGATTTTTTTATATTTGTGAACAGATCTTGAGATATTTTAGGGAGGGGACTCAAGTATAAACAGAAAATTCATTTATATTTCTTATATGCACATTATACACATAGCTTGTATAGAAATCTTTTTAAATGATTTTATATTTATTGCAAAGTCAGATATACAGAGAGGAGGAGGAAAGACAGGGAGGAAGATCTTCCATCCAATGCTTCACTCCCCAAGTGACTGCAATGGCTGGAGCTATGCCAATCCAAAGCCGGGAACCAGGAGTTCTTCCAGGTCTCCCATGTGGGTGCAGGGTCCCAAGGCTTTGGGCCGTCCTTGACTGCTTTCCCAGGCCACAAGCAGGGAGCTGGATGGGAAGTAGGGCTGCTGGGATTAGAACCAGTGCCCATATGGGATCCTGGCATGTTCAAGGCGAGGACTTGAGCCACTAGGCCACGCTGCCAGGCCCTGAAGGTGACATTTAAGAGTTTTAAAATTTATTTGAGAGGGAGTGTGTGGGTAGATGAAAGAAAGGAGAGGAAAAAGAAAGAGGGAGAGAAAAGAGATACCAAATACCAGCCCTGCCCTTTTTCCTGGTTTGCTCCTCAAATGCCCATAGTGATTATGGTGGGGCCAGGCTGAAGCAGGGTGCTGGGAACTCAATCTAGGTCCCTTACATGGGTAGGAGGGACCTAGTTATATGAGATATTACCTGCTGACTCCCAGGGTCTCATTAGCATGAAGTATAGGAAGTATAGCATGAAGGAGTATAACCAGGTGTGGAACCTAGGTGTTGTGCTGTGGGCTGCAGATAGCCTAACAGGCATGCTAACTACGAGGCTGAATACCTGCCCCCAGAAGGTAATTTTACACAATATTTTTAGTGTATCTACTTTTTAACTGCAGCTTATCACACAAAGTCAGGTGTGACAGTTACCACTATTTATGTTCAAACAGTTTTGCATTTGGGAATACGTCTGGTTTCAGATTTTTGGATGAGAGGTATCCAATCTGTTGTAAAGGCTTGAGGACCAAAAGCAAAGAAAAGAAGGAAGGGAGGAAGGAAGGAAGGAAGGAAGGAAGGAAGGAAGGAAGGAAGGAAGGAAGGAAGAAAGGACAGTCAGTTATGGTGGATGTGGCCTACTGGGTGTCAGTGCGACCATGAGGAACCATCTTGGAGCCAGTAGCCCTAGTTTGGTGAAGTCCTTCAGAGCTGGGACTTTGAAGTTGGGTAGTCAAACAGAATTCCAGCTTTCCATTTCCTCACTTGGTTGCTTCAGGAGAAATCATGTAATGTTCGGAGCCTCAGTGACCTTATCTATACAAGGGGCTGATGAGATGTTTGTCTCGTTGCGCCCTGGCGTGGTAGTGAGGATTAAGTAGAGTTGAAAGAGCTTAGGCTACTGCTGGGTAATTGGGAAGGACTCCTCACAGGCTAGCAGTGGCTGTTGGGCCACCATCATCTCTGATTTGGTGCAGACAACCCGGGTGTACCTGACCCTTGTTCTGGGGGACACTGAGGCAGCAGAAGAGGAAGTGTGCTTGTCTTCCTGGAGGGCTGGAAACCAACTGACGGGGACTTTGGTGAACTGCAGGTGCTCGTGCTGGCTGTGAAGCAGTTGTTCCCGGAGTTTGAGTTCATGTGGCTGGTTGAAGAAGCCAAGAAGAACCTGCCATTGGAGTTGGACTTCCTCAACGAGGGGAGGAACGCCGAGAAAGTAGCCCAGATGCTGCGGCACTTCGACTTCTTGAAGGTATGAGGGGTGGAATGACAGGGAGTGGGGGTGGGGACAGGGCTTGGCGGCCTAGGGAGAGTGAGGTAGCTGGACTCGAGTGGGGCATATCCTTCTGAATCTGCTGTCTGAGGACAAGTGGCTTATCACTGGACTGTATGTGTGCACGTGAAAGTCCTCAGAGGTGATTTATAAAGATATACCAAATGTGATTGCTGACCTGTCAGGCAATGAAACTGACATTGAATAACCTATAATTCCAAGACCCTGAGCACAAGGGCCTTTGCAACTGTGTGTCCAAAAGTTGGTGGAAAATGGAATTAAAAAGTTTATTTTATGCAAAAGCGTTTTGAAATCTAGGCATAGGTTCTTCATGATGTTCATTTTCAGCAAACTTTTGGAAAGCTCCTCAAATGCCATGGTCTCTGCCTCTGTGAAGCATGGAATGGTAATGATGATGATGATGATGATGATAGTAGCTAACAAGAATATGCTCCAGTACGGTTCCAAACACATGTTTATTACATTAACTCATCTAATGTACAGTTAGTCCTGCTATAGCACAACATGTGTTCTTTAAAATCACCATAGTATGCTAAATCTCGTAACAGAAACCACAGGGCCTTTGGAAAATAGGATTAGGGGCCTAGCACTCACAAACTTTATCACTGATGCAGAAAAAGGCAGAGGACAGAAAGGGCACTGTTGTGCACATGTTTGATGGCTGAGACCTACATAAAGCCACAGTACGCATGCTATACCTCGCGCTTGGCTGGGGAGGTAGGAATGATAAGAGCAGCCATTTTGGAGTTGCAGCGAGTTATTGGAAGGTGGGTCAGCTATAATGGGCCAGGCATTGATGGCACCAGGTGAGGGTGGTGGTCAAGGGGTGTCAGCATACGTTCTATGCTCTCCTTCGTGGCCCAGTTCAGCTGGATGCCGTTCTCTGATCATAGGTCTTTCTCATGGCTGAGGGGGTAAAGAGACAAATTTAAAATCTGCATGATGCTCAAACTATTCCCCATCGTGGCAGTGGCATCACTATATATATATATATTACATATATATATATAAAATGTACATAATGTTTGTGTATGTGTATATTTTTTATTTTTCCCAAAATAAGTATCCTAGCAGAAATGCCACAGGTTACAGAAGGCACTTAATGTGGGGAACAGTGTCACATGGTGCCAAGTCACTGCTGCAGGTGCCTGAGGAGAGGGAGCGCTCTGAGGCCTTGGAAGGCACTCTGTGGTCTGCCAGGTCAAGATGGCCCTGCTGGAGCTGGCCCTGGAGCTGGTTTCTGGAAGCCAATGTTCCCTATGTGATTCCAGGCAAGGGAATGAAAGAGAAGCATGCCTACCAGGCCAGTTCTCCAACATGGTTTATTGTAAGTGAGTTTTACAATTGTTGCCCCAAGAATACCCTTGGATTGCTAGGGGGCCACTCTGGTGGTCTGCAGAGGGTTTAACGACAGAAGGCATCATCCCTTCCCACTTTCCTCAGGAGGCCTGGGGCATGTTCACAGAGCACGTGGGAGCCGAATCAGGAAGCTTTCTTCTTGGAAGCTCTGGAAGGGAAGGGTTCCATTTTCCTGGACTGAAGGGGAGCTGGCTTTTGGAATCATCATGAAAAGTGGAGTTGGGGGGCAGGTGGTTATATTTCTGCTAGCCAAGTCGTTGGGCTGCAATGGCTGAAGGCCCATGTTTCTTTAGCCACTTGAGGACCCAGATGCTTGACTGACAGGAAGCAGAGCCTCAGCTGTGGTGATGAGCGCCATGCCACACCACACAGCTTTGGTGGAGAATGAAGTTGTGGGAGCAGTTTGGTCTGTTGAGTGCATCCAAGGTCTACTCCGACTTACCGCATCCAGTGTGCCTGGTTGGCGTTGCCTCAGCAATTCTCATGGAAGGGGACAGACAGATCCTCTTGGGTGAGCAAATCCAGAAGTGCAGCCTTGTCCTGGTAGGGATGCCTCCGCCTTAAGGCTCAGAGCCCCAGTTCTGCCCGCATTGGGCTCTCTCAGGTGAATGCAGAGGATCAGCTAACTATGCAGGGGAGTCAGTCACTACGATCTGCTGCCATGTGTGCCTCCTTTTTCTTTAGAAGGTTCCTTTATTCTATGATGAGTATTCCTGAACTGAAGGTTATGGCCCCGCTCTGGAAGCCTTTCCACCAAGTGAGGGAAGCAACACACAAGTGTGATGTTGTAGTCTAGGTGGAATCGCGCCCAGCCAGATGCTTAGTTTTAGTGAATTCCCAAAAGACTGGACATAAAGGCACCTGAGATGAAGAACTCAGAGGGCTGCAAGAAGAGTTGGCGGTACACAGGGAGCCTGTACATACGGCCCACGGCTTCTGCCTTGGGCCCTGTGGAGATGCTGTGACACCAAATCCTTACCACTGCCACCGTCCCATTTCACAGATGATAGTTGATGACTAGAGGAACCAGGGCTGTCAGGTGTCTTTCCTGACTCCCAGCCTGGGTGGGGGTTCTTCTTGGGATTTTCTGCTGCCTTTTACCCAGCAGGGGTGCCCCTCAGAGCCAGAACAATGAGCCAGCCAAACAGAACCATCTCCTGCACTGTTCCCATGGAAACGGCAAAGTCGTCCCCTGGCTGAGGCCGGCTAACAACTGCCAGACCAAGACATGTCATCATAATAATAACACACATTTTTGAAACAAGGATGCCAAATGGGTAAATAATTGATGCACTGATTTGACCCACTGCTTCCAGAACTCACACATCATTCCTAAGACAGGGGAGGAACCAAGGCCCCAGAGTAATTAATTTCGCCTAAACACGTAGCAAGTGGGAAGCAAGTCTTGTGCTGCAAACCCAGCTCAGCTCTTAAAACTGAGGACAGGCAGCTTGTGCTCATGGGCACGCATCGCGACATCTGTGTGTTGTGAAGCCTTAGCCAAGAGCTCGCGCCTCACCAACGGGCACCTTCACCACTCTGTGGGGTTTAATGGCCTCCGCTCTGTGCTGTGTACCTCTGGGCCACAGACAAGCCCTGAATACAAATGCAGCATCCAGCAGACCAGGAGGAGAGAGGGGGCAGCCAGGCCGAACGGTCAAGACCAGCCCTTGGCAAGCAGAGCTGTGTGTGCAGCGGGGAGGGTGCAGGATGGGCACAGGAGAGAGGCTCGTGGCCAACCTGGGGGTGAACCAGAGCCCAGGCAGAAGGGAGAAGACATGCCTTCTGCCCACGGGATTCTGGGCTGGAAGGAGACACGTATGGAGAGAGGGGCTGGGCGTCGGTGCTCTCGGGAGCAGCGTCACACCAGGCGAAGTAAGGAGCCTGAAACTCCAGAAATTGGATCTGGAGCTGCAGCATGGTTTGCTAAGACTCTCAGAAGCTCTGGTGTGCACAGAGGCTAGCCATGAATAACTGCGGCGTTGCTCTCTGTCTTCTTGCTCAGAACAGTCCCATAGGGAAGGGCTGTTGTCAGCCCCGTGTCTTCAGTGGGGAGATCAAAGGTCCAGAGACACCCATGATGACACAGCTTAGCAGCAAGGGAGGAGGCAGCACGTGAAACTCCCACCTTCCTCGCTGTTCATGACGGTCTGGATTTTAGCAAGCTGTCTGTTGCCCTGCTGTTTGGTCCTGCTGTATCCAGAAGCCGCCAAGTCTACGTGGCTGTCCAGGGGCAGCACACAGTTTAGCCCAGTGTTGACCAAGTGACTGGGACTGGGAGCTTGCAGGGAATGGGAAACGTTGCTTCTGCTGGAGCTGTCATTTGCTTAGATGGCAGGGAAACTGGCACTTAGAGAAGCTCAGCGACTTAACCCCAGCCACACAGCTTGTGGGGTGCGGCCTGGGGCTTTGGCTTGGCAGCCCAACTTCTGGTCTGTACTGGGCTGCCTGAGACTCAGGCTCAGGCTGGCCATGGGAGGGCTGCAGCCCCGTGCCATGCCTGCAGTCCCGTGCCATGCCTGCTGGTCCCAAGGAGTCAGGGCTGCTTCATGTATAGGGTGACCACAGCTCAGGACAAAGTGGATAGCCAAGGATTGTGGGCTGGGAGGCCACAATCTGTGCCTTCCTTGGGGTCATGTGTGGCCTTGAGAGAGAGAATGGGTTGAGTCCACAGATGGGGCCTCTGCTCTGTGCCAAAGGGGCAACCGCTAGGACCTGCCATTGGGTAGTGGGTAATTCCATCAGAAAAGGCACAGTTCCTCCTGCCTTGGTCCCATTTTCCTTTCTTGATAGAAGAAACAGAGGCCACGGGGGCAAGTTTAATCTCTCGCCATACCTAAGGCCTCCTGCCCATGTGGTGATCTAGGGGTAATCTCCTCCTAATTGAGCTTAGTGTCCAAAGTCCACCCATTGAGGGACCCCCACAGCCCTCCCTGAGCCCCCCAGAACATCCACCTTCACCCCCTTTTCCCTGCCATGCCCCATCTCCCAGGTCTGATGTCTCAGTCTTGTCTGATTGAAGCAGTGGAAGCAAGGGGCCCAGTGTGCTGTTAGGCTTGGCTGGAGGCGACTGGAAGGAGACGCTGGCCCAGAGGAGGAAGGGGTGAGTCCAGCACACCCCAGGTCTCCCATGAGCAGGTCCTGAGCCTCTTTGCCCAGGTCTCTTTCTTAAGTTGCCCCAGGCAGGCCCAGCTCGGGATGGGGATGGCGGTGGTAGGAGTCTCTGACTTCCTATCCCAGCTTGGGCCCCGGGTGCCCACTGGCAAGTTTAGGTTTTTCCAGACAAAGGGGCATACTCAAGCCCAACACACATCCCTCTTGTTGGGAGGCACAAACAAGCCACAATTTTTTTTTTAATCTGCTTTTTGAAAAATGCCAAAGAGTCAAACTTTTAAGTTCAAAGTGACGGAAGCTCAGACTTCTCTATGGACTCACATTTTCAAATGGCAAAAACCACAGGGTAGTAGTGAACTGTAATAACATTTTAAAGATTTATTCTATTTATTTGAAAGGTGGATTGATAGAAAGAGAGCTTCCATTTGTTGGTTTACTCCCCAGGGACCTGCAGTGGCTGGGGATGGATGAGGCCAGGTTAGGTGCCAGGAGCTTGTTTGATTCTCCCACATGGATTTCAGGAACTTGGGCCTGCCCACAAGGGCTGCCCTATGCTGTTTCTTGAAGTGCATTTACAAGGAGCTGGATCAGAAGTGGAGCAGCGGGGACCAACAGCAGTGCTCTGATGGGGGTCAGCATCGCTGGTAGTGGCTTGACTCATTCTGTCCCAGCACCAGGCTCAATTGTAACATCTGAATTTTTCCTGAGAATTTCTGTTCCAATTCAAGCATGTGGCCTTCCGATGGCCCTCCGGATGGCCCTGCTGCCCCTAGAGCTCCTTCTGCAGGTGGCCCAGAACAGCTCCATCCAGCCAGGAAGTCTGAGACCTGGAGTTCAGTGACTGGTCCAAGACTCAGCTGCTGTTGGCACAGAGAGCATCAGGAAGTTGGGCTGTTGACCTGCGGGTCACTAGCCACCTCCCTGCTGGTTCAATTTAGGGTCCAGGAGACTGGATCCTCTAAAGCATTTAAGTTGGATACCCTGTTGGTGTGTCTAACAGAGGAAGTCAACTTTGGAGGAGATGTGACTGCTGGCTGGGTGGTCCTCACAGTATCACCCATGTGATGGCCTGGTAGCCCTTGGTACATGCCAATCTTTTGCCTGCACCTGGAAAAAGATGCTCCCTTTTGGACTTGGGGGTATCTTCAGGGTCAGAGGAAGTTGGAGGGATTATCAATCTGTTTCTTATATGTCTGTGTGCTGGTAAAGCCTGACTTTTAACCTTACAGAAAAAGAATGTATTTTCCTTGTGTAGCCGGAAGCCTCTCAGCAGGTGATTGCTGCTCCTGTTGCAGTGGCGTTGTAATGTCAAGGCTGGCACCTCTGACTACAAGGTGGCTGCCACTGCTCTGGGTATCATATTCACGCTCAGGGCTGGAAGGTGAAGAACAGCACTGTACAACACCCTTTTTACGAAGAGAATAGATGGCTTCCCAGAGTCCCCTAACAGTCCACATAAATCTCACGAGCTGGAACTGTGTAGAATAGGGTAGTTATTTAGTCTGACTGTCTCTGGAGAAAGCGAGGTTTGGGACTCGGTTTTAGGTTAAGATCTGGCTTGCGGTCATTGGCGTGAGAGACAAAATGCATCCTCTGTGAGAACATCATTCATTCGCTCAACACACGCGTAGACTCCGTCTGTTACCCAGGAGAGAGATCTGAGGCCAGGCCTTGGGATTCTCGTGACCGGGGTGGGTGGCAGGTGCATGTGGGAGGGTAACAGCATTTAACACCAGTGTCGGGCTGTTTTGGCTCTCAACTGCGGCAGGCACTGGGGAGTTGCAGGGGAACTGTTCTTTGGCTCCCAGGCAGGAGAGTGGGCTCTCTAAAGGAGAGGGCTGGGGAGCTTGCCTGGCAGGCCCCATGTTATCCACAGCTTCTGCCCAGGGCCCCCTTGGGCCTTGGGGTCCCCGTGCTCATCACTAAGCTCACAGCACCTAGTGAAGCTCCTCACCCCCCTGCTGCCTCCCAGACCATCCTCACGGTCACCTCTTGCCTAGGTGCCCCGGATCTACTGGGAGCTGTCCACCAAGCGTGTCCTCCTGATGGAGTTTGTGGATGGTGGCCAGGTCAACGACCGAGACTATATGGAGAAGAACAAGATTGACGTCAACGAGGTGAGGGCAGAGCTCAGGGCCGCTGTCTGAGGGGCCCCTTCTCAGGCCTGGCTGGGGCATCCCGCTGAGGATCAGTGTGCCCCGGTGAGGCCTTGGGACCTGGCCTCATGGTCTTTAAGTGGGCTTGGTGTCTGGGGAACTGTGGAGTTCTGAGCAGGCAGACCCTCCTCGGCCGCCTCATGCAACTCTGTGCACACAGTGGCTGCAGGGCCATGCCGAGCAAGGAGGCTGGGTCAGCTTCACAGGGCAACAGAAAGGTGGGGAGTGGGGGATGTGCATCCCCACCTCCCACCCCCTTGGTCTCCGGGACAAGTGGGCGGGATCTGTACCTCCTTCCTGCTTGTTGATCACCACGGGGTCTGCCCGGCAAGGTTGAAGTTGTACTCGTCCACCAGCATTCATTGTGCTCATATCTCCACCGTTGGGTGGAATCAGGCACCAAGGAGAATCCTCCAGCTGTTGCCTGGGCAGCAAGTGGGGTGCGATTGAGACCTGTGCCCAGGGAGTGGGGAAGGGAAGGGGGCAGTGTGGCAGGACGTCCCTGTGAGTATGTACTGGTAACCCCATTTGCAGGTGAGAAAGCCCAAATGTCTTCAGCAGTTAGTCCTGTGCCATGCAGCTCAGCAGGGCCGGAGCTGGCATTTGAACATGAATCTGCATGACTGCATGCTTTTCCCTCATTCTTTCCCATCTGCCTCCCAGGATCCCTGTGGCTGGTACAACGTGTGTAACTACTCACAAAACTACCCAGCAGCCATGGCACCATCTGGATGTAACCCTGCCCTCTGGCTTACACCAAAGGTCATCTGATGCACTGCATGGAAATGTTCTTCCATGTTATGCACCAAATTTTTAAGAAATGCTGTAGGGGGCCTGGAGCGGTAGCCTAGTGGATAAAATCCTCGCCTTGCATGTGCCATATGTGTGCCGGTTTGTGTCCTGATGGCCCTGCTTCCCATCCAGCTCCCTGCTTGTGGCCTGGGAAAGCAGTGGAGGATGGTTCAAAGCCTTGGGACCCTGCACACGCCTGGGAGACCCAGAAGAAGCTCATGGCTCCTGGTTTCCAATCAGCTTAGCTCATGCCGTTGCAGCCGCTTGGGGAGTGAATCAGCAGACAGAAGATCTTCCTCTCTGTCTCTCCTCTTCTCTGTATATCTGCTTTTTCAATAAAGAAAAAATTAAAATTATCTTTTTTTTTTAAAAGGAAGAAATACTGGAGGACTTCAAAACAGGAACAGGGCTGGGCCTGGTGTGTGCGAGCGCCCCCAGCAGTGGTTGGATGCTGGATGTTCTTACTGTTACTGTGGGTTCTTGGTCTTTGCTCCTTTACCGCCTTGTGCTGTAGATGCTGCCTGGCTACAGGGCCCAGGCCCTGCTGCAGCTGTAAAAGGAGACCTTCGAGGCTCAGAGAGAGAAGACACCTGTGTAAGCTCACCAAGTTTTCTCCCCATCTGCTGGTTCACTCTCCAGGTTCCTGCAAGGGTTGGGGTTGAGCCAGGCAGCGGGACTGCAATCCAGGTGTCCACATGAGTGGCCGATTACTTGGGCCGTTACTGCTGCCTCCCGGGATCTGCATTGTCGGGAAGCTGGAGTCAGGAGCCGGAGCCAGGAATAGGCACGTTGGTTGGTTTGGGGCAATGGGTGTCTTAACTGTTAAATGTTTTTTCTGGCCACAGAACTGAACCATCATCCAGGTAAAGACACAAACCCTGTCTGGCCCTCTGATGAACTCCCCCGGCCGCACTCAGTGAATTCCGTCATCCGCGGCAGGGTGGCTGCTGTTCCCACTTATATCGCCAGAGAATGTCGCTCATTACTGAGCTGAGTCACCATTTGGGATCTGGTATTGTTGTCATCAGCTGTGGGTTTTCTTTCTTCTTTTTTTTCTGGAATCTTTGTTCCACTTCAAATGTCCACCCATGCAGTCCCATTGTGTCTTGATTTCTCAACCCCTAGCCCTTATTGCATCCCTTGCTTGTAGGGCTTGAGGGGCTGTGGCAGCGCTTTGGTTTCCTGATTTGGGAGCACCAAATCCTTACTCAGGGTTGGGCTGTGAGCCTTGTGCTGTGCAGTCAGACATGTGGGAAGCAGATGAGGGCAGGCCTGACTCTGCAGAAACGACCCTGTTAGATAGGAGATGCATGCATGTCTGTGTGCATACGTGTGTATGTGTGTCTGTGTGCATACGTGTGTATGTGTGTGGTGAAAGACTGCACAGTCCTGGGGGTTGTAGGCAGAGTTCTGAGGCTGCCCCATCTCCCTGCGTCATGGGCCTCAGCATATCTGGGCTATTGGCCTGTCCCTCCTTAGGACAGCCTGGCCACAAACATCCCCTAGGGAGGGAAATCACAGGCACAGACAAATGACAAGGGGCAGGGACCTTGTTCCAAATTCCCAAGGATAAAGTAGTGAGTGACATCCTGGTTAATGCAAGAAGGTGACCCAGGGGCCGGCACTGTGGCACAGCAGGTGAGGCTGAGGTCTGTGACACTGGCATCCCATAGGAGCCCTTGTTTGAGTCCCAACTGCTCTGTTTCTGGTCTAGCTGTCTGCCAATGCATCTGGGAAAGCAGGGATGCGACCCAGACGGAGTCCTGGCTCCTGATTTAAAGCCTTGGCCGGCCCTGGCCATGTGGCCATTTGGGGAGTGAACCGGAAGATGGACAGTCTCTGTTTTGTCTGTGCCTCTCTTTCTCTGTTATGGTGCTTTTCAAATAAATATTTTTTAAAATTTTATTTCTTTTTAAAATTATTATTATTATCATTTTATGGTACAGTTCCATAGACCCTGGGGTTTCCCTCACCTGCCCCTCCGAGTTTGCCTATATTATTACTATAGTAATAATAAGCAGTCACATGTCCATCATCGCAGGCATGGACAATAGCAGAGAGTCCAGCATCCTATTGTCAAGATGTAGCTAACAGTTTCATACTATATGATCCACGAGTCAGTGAACATTTTAATGAGAGTGTTTTGAAGAGATGAATCTAAAAAAAATTCAAAATCCACGACATATAGTTTTCGCTGATCTTTGTTGGTGAGATGTGTCTCCTGTAGGCAACAAATAGATGGGTTTTGTGTTTTTAATCCAGTCTACTAGTGCTTGATTGATGAGGAGTGACATTCTTATTTTTAACTATTTAGAAAAATTTTTTTTCTCTTTATATTCCAGATTCTAAAAGCAGAAAATTATTGGCCCAGGATAACATACCCAGCAAAGCTTTCCTTTTTCTTTAAAAATGGAATAAAATTCTTCCACAGTACAGAAAAGTTAGAAGAAGATGCCTCTTCCAAACCTGCCCTACAAATGACAGAAAAGAAAAATAGCACCCACCAAAACCAAAGGCAAATGTGAAGAACATCCCAGTAAAATAACAACAGAAGACTAAATCAATAAACAACTCATTGCTAAATGACAGGACCAAATTACCACCCATTCGTATTAGCCCTGAATGTAAATGGCAAATAAATAAATCTTTAAAAAAAGATGCTCTTGCTGACAGGTGGCCTTGCCCAAGGCGGGTGGGGATGGCTGCAGACCTCTGTGACTGCTTACTAAGTCAACACCAAACTGCCTGGCCGAAGCCTCCTCACCCTACAGCATCCCAGGTGCCCTGGGCTCAGCCTGTGAGCACCTGACAACCAATCTAAGTAGCTAATTCCGGATCCGCTCAGACGGGAAGCACCAGGGTAGGAAGTAAGGGATGTAGAGAGAATGGGGATCCATCCCTGCCAGTGGCTTGCTGTGTAATCTTAGGCAGATCACACCACCTCTCTGGTTTCAATGTTCTTATGGGTGAGGTTGGAGGGGCTAGGTCCTGACTCAGGGTCCTTTCTTCTTGATGCGTTTGCATACCCTTGTTCTCCAGCCTTGTGGGAACTCAGGTTTGTTTGTTCATCTCATTTCAGACTCTCTTGGGGGCTGGTGGGGGGAGGGAAGGAGCCTGTTTGTGCCAAATTCCCAGGCCCCTTGCCACATTTAGTCATCTGGGGTGGGATGGATTGCACAGGGTGGCAAACATTGGCATTTTCATGTGCTCTGCTTCAGATGGTCGCTGGAGTTTAGGACTGCTCCCAGCCAGCCAGAGCTCAGCCTGCTACTTGCTCTAGGCAGCCCTGCCCTGGCCTGCCCATCTGCCTGCGAGCGAGCAGCCTGTAGGGGCCCTGTCTGTGTCTGCAAGCCCAGAAGCAGGTATTACCGAGGGCCTGACCGGAGGATCATATTTGCCAGTCACTTTTAGAGCTGGCAACAATTGACTGTCATTGATCTCATTAAAAGGAAAGGTCGCACCGGAGCCGGCTTTCCCCGGCCAGCCGGAGCCTGCTAAGCCACAGAACCGACTATTGATTGCTGGGCCTTTATCGAAGGTTAATTGGATTTCAGGGCGTGTGTGTAAGACCCTACCTGGACTGAGGCACAATTTAATTTGTGTGAAATTAACCTAGAGAAAGGTGGCAGAGCTGGCAGTGGGGGACAGGCGACTGGAGGGGGCCAGGTGGGCTGACATGGACCGTCTGTGATTGTGGGGGGCCTTGGGTGTGGGAGTGAGGGGCAGGTGGTGTGTGTGCTCTGCTCTAGTCCCCTGTCCCCACATGGCCTCCCGAGCCTGCCTGGTCTGCTTTGCAGAGAGCAAGCTTGTCTTCAAGCAGGGTTGGGAGGCATCTGCGGGCTTAGTTGATCCATGTAGAGTCTTTCTGCTAATCCTGCTTTTCCAGGAACCTCAAATTCCAGCTTGGGAGGTGCTAATGGCCCTCAGGACTGCCCCTCTGCCCCTCTGCCATTGCTGGCTTAGGGCTTTCCATGCTTTTAGCCTGTCTCTCCCCTCCCCTCCCTGGTCATTTCTCAGTACCTGTCTGTTGCCCCCACCACTGCAAACATGGTTTCGTGCTTCTCGTTTTGTTTGCCTTTTTTGGCCTTTGCATTCTTTTCCTTGTGTTTGGGACTGTTGCCTTCTCTTTCTCCTTTGGAGTCATTTCTTTTTAAGATTCATTCGTTCAT